TCTCTTTCTGTTTGCAAGATAGATGATCCATGGCTTCTCATAAATTTATGAAAAAAATGTACTATCCATGTCAAGATAAGGTATTTAGACATAATTAATGAATTGAATTCGTGAATTTTGTGTTTGGAGAACGTTCTTAACTCATCGTTTTCATATTAACAGGATGCGTTACCTAAATTGACTATCTTGTCAACGTTTTACGACTAACGACGATTTTTTAATTTGTTACACTGAAGATGGCCACGTCCTTTAGGCCAAAACGTATGTAATGTTATAATAAAAGGAAATTTGTGCAATTATAACTAGCTCTGGCTCTATCAGCTTGTTGTTTTCAAGAATATTAAAGGTAAGATTCCCGAAAATGAATTATTTTACAAGATATTTTGTATTTTATGTCAAAATGCTGTAACTTTCAAGCCTCATAACTCGAAAAGTACTTAATGAAAAATAACTTCATTATAGTGTTTTGAAAAGCTCTTGACACCAGCTATTAGATTTTGGAATCATAAATAGGGTGTTCCATTTAAAAAAATAAAATTGACCTTCATATGACTTTGGCATGTACACCCTAGGTTAAACCAATGTCATCATCGGATGTCCCCCTCCGGACCCAACAACTTTTGTAAGGGTTATTTTCGGATTGATGGCTCCCCTGACGAGATATTCAGGTGCGTGATTTAAAATGGGACATTCTGTATATATATGCATATATTATAGATCAGTATTTAGAACATGCTTACAAAGATATCAGCGCGTTGTTATTTAAGGAGAATCTGTTTTTTGTACAGATTTTTCTATTGGACCATATACTGACCATATTAGTACCAGAGAGAAGACTCTCTGGCTGTATAACCTAAACTGTATTAGAAATATATCTCAGTTTTCTTACTTTAATTCTTTCTTTGAGTGTCGTACCACTTGTCAAGTACTCACATATCCCAACGGTCTCCCATTGATCGTTACAGAATGTTAATTTTATTCATACATATAGTAAGAAATTTTTTTTAATTTTTGCTTTAATTGTTACAAGTTAGTTTTAAAAGACATTGTAGAAATATATATACCTTTTTGTATGTTGCTATAAAAATCTAAGAATATATATACTTTTAATATATTCTAATGTATATTTACAATATATATGTAGCATTCTTTCTCAACTTTACACCCATGCTGCCCATTTTCTATTTGATCTAAAAATTTTTGAAAAATCTTAAAATTTACAGAAAAATGTAAGCTTTCCAATGGCGCGTGGCAAAATTATCAAATTCAATTGGATCATACTTAAAATTTCAGAAAACCAAAAAAAAATAAAAACGGTAATTATTCAAGTGTAGCGATTATTTATTCGACGTTTTTCTCTTCCAATTAACACTTTTGAGTACTCTGTTTATCTGTACACTGTCACATGAGTCTAAACTAAAATGGCGGATCCAATATGGCCGCCAAAAATTTAAAAAATTTAAGAAATTAACTGATTTTTATAAAACTTGGTATCAAGAGGTTTTTTAGGTTACTGTATACGAGTCTAAAGTTATTTTTCAAAAATACAAAATGGCGGATCCAATATGGCCACCAAAACATTTTGAAAATTTTTAGAAATTAACGAATTTTTATAATACTTGGTATCAGGGACTTTTTCGGGTTGCTAATAACGAATCTGAAGTCGCATTTCGAAAATTCAAAATGGCGGATCTAATATAGCAACTAAAAATTTGAAAAATTTTTAAAAGTAAGGGAGTTTTATAAAATTTGAACAGAGAGTTTTACGGCCAACTAAATACAAATCTTAAGTCGGATTTCGAAAACTGAAAATGTCAGATCTAATATGAAGACCAAAAATATTGAAAATTTAGGAAATTGACAGATTTTTATAAAATTTGATACTAGAGATACCTCTGATTCTGATGTCGCCTGAGCTCTTACCCCCTACTTTTTGAAATCTTGATATGAAAAAGTCGAACTATTACCAGCATTGGAATATCTCTTAATCACCATTTCTTTGTTGATTGGGACGAAACAGTGATTTCTCAGAATCTCTGGAACTGGTGGAGCTACATCAAATCCTTTTTTTAAAAATCTTTTTGTCTTTTGGTGCTCTTTGTCATTATATGACAGTATACTAATACTTTTAGAATTTTTTTGAGCCCAGTCAACAAGTTTCTCGAATGAAAGAATGGCATCGTTCGGTTTACTAAGGAGGCTAGCTTGCATAGCTTCCCTTTTGAACTACAGCACCTACACCGTCTGAAGCACCTTTACCATGTGCAGTGGCATGATAGTTCCATTCCGCTGCAACACC